TTTAGAAAAGAAAAGAGAGAGTGGCAGAGAGAAAGCAAGGCTCACATTGTTAATACAATGCTCCTCTGAGTTCTGAGAGACAGCTCAAAGCAGCAAACGCTGCAGCTCTCGCTGTTAATGCTTTACTTTCTCATAGCGATGACAGTACAAGACTAGTAGTGTAAACTAGCATGCTGTATCATAACCACCTCATGCTCCCAGAGCACTGGCTCCTGTTGAAGGAAAGCATAAGATACTGTATCCACTCACTTCATTCACCCCAGTAAGACAGATTTCAAGCATGTTTTTAACCATTTAATAACAGCGATTATGGCATGTGTGCGTAAAAGGTACGACCACAGATTATGAGCCTAGTTCTAAAAATCTTTACAGATGTGCAAGACTGTTATTTTTAAAAAATACATATAGATTGACTTTTATGGATACGGTCAAGTAAACACAGATTTGCAAGAGGAGGTCAACGCTACATTTTTATTGCAGTTCAAAATAACAATGAGAATATCTGAAAGTTACGCTTCCCATAGCGGCATCAGTACAGCTAGAAGGAAAGAAAGTCAAATTCAACTGCTTCTTTAAAAGAGACAGAAGCTGGAAGTATTGTGTGCAATGGAATAGTGCAAGCTACTGTATCTAGACCTGAAACACCAGTTACACGAATACAGGTATTTTTGCACTAAAGCATTTATTAAACTACAGTTTAATCTTCCAGTCTTTTGCAGTACCAACCAAAGTCAAAGTTAATATCATGCTCAGGAGTATAGTGCCATACACATGCTAATATCAGTTATCAGTAAGGGCAGGAATGAAAAGTTACAAAATTTAAACTTAAGATTTTCTGTAAAAATACTGGACTGCTTTTATGAGCCAACTAGATGAGCTGGACAGAAATCTACATAACGCATATGGAAGACATGCAAATTGATGAGCACACTCCATGAAGTATGATCTCCAGAAAAGATTCTACAATAAAAAACAAACCCAACACCCCCCCATTCATCACAACTTTTAAAGCATAAGAATTGAAGCACGCTTATGCATAGTGCAAATGTGAAGCGTGGCTTTTGAACTTTTTTTTTTACTTTTTTTTTTATGTGATCACTGCGCTATGAGGACACATGGCAAAGAAGTTGTAAGATATGTAGAGGAACTTTAAGAGCAGCTTACAAAGTCGTATACGGATAAGGGAGTGTAAATTCTCAGTACCAGAGCCAGGAGTCTGGGTGTACTCTGATCATAGTTACAAGGCTGGGCTTAGAGTTCTGGTTTGCACACACGTGGTACGGGTTTTGTATCTCAGGAATGAGGAAAACCAAAGCAATTCCAGCTCTGTCTGTAATGAGCTGAAAATGACAGGTAATGCAAACATCTGCAAGTATTTCAGTAAAATACCTGAAAAATATCCACCAAAAGAATGAACAAGATTTAAAAGTACAGTTTCACTCACTACTTATTCACAGTTAGATGTCTTAATAAATATCCCAGCAGCACTATAGGACACGGGGGGGGGCCTGGCGGATGAGTTGAACATGAGTCAGCAGTGCACCCTTCCGGTGATAAAGCCTAACCAGGCTGCATTAGCAAGAGCACAGCCAGCTGCTTGAGGGGAGGGATTATTCCCCTCTTTGGTACTTGTGAGGCCACATCTGCAGTCCTGCGTCCAGTTTTGGGTTCCCCCATACACGACATTAGTATGCCTGAGTGAGTCCAAAGGACTGGAGCACAGGAGGTGCAAGAAAAAGCTGAGGGAACTCTTTTCCCCAGAAAAGGGACAGGTAAGGACAGTTATAATTGCAGCCTACAACTATACAGAGACAGAGTTGGACTCAGAGACTCACAGCAAAAGAACAAAAGCCTGTGGTCACGGTACAAAGGGAAATTCTAATGAGATATAAGGAAAATATTTCCACAGTGAGAAAGGTTAAATACTGGAACAGATTGCCCAGACAGGCTGTGGTATCTACATCCGTGGAGATACTCAAAACTTGACTGGACGATCTGATCTGACTTTGATGTTAGCTCGTCATTGAGCTAGGCTTGGGTTAGACAACCTCCCGTGATCCCTTCTAACCTCAGTTGCTCTATGATTCTATGTTTACCATGTTGGAGGGGGATAGGGGTAAAAAAGGAAAGCTGAAGGTGGTGGTAGATGCTAAAGGGATTTTATACTAAGCAATTAAAAGTGTTTATTGCCAATATTATCAGCAGAAAGAATAATAAGGAATGATAATTTAACCATATATAGTACTTATTTTTTGGAAAAGCAAAGATTTATTTTGCATAACATTTCCAGAGCTGTTTCAAGAACCATCACTTTGTAATAGCCCTTCTGGAAAATTACCCTCACCTTTAATGCTGTTTGCTATGCATTATAACTGTCAGTACTTCCACAACAATAAAATGCTTCAAGTTATGTCTTTCGGAAAGATTTCTAATGAGAAGTTAGAAAGACTTAATTTTGCAATCTGCAAAAGCAGTATGGTTCAAAGATGGTAAGTATTCCTGGCTGTATTTATAATACATAGGGGCTTTTTCCCCACTTGTGAAGGAAACCTTTTATTATTGTTGTAGAACTAACTAAATGTTCTGTTTTAGAAAAGTATCACAAATACTATCATTATAATGATAGCATGCAGTGAAACAAATGTAACTAAGTTTAAAACCAAATGCTCAAGTCAAGAAATGGTTCCTAAGTAATGTTTGGTTTGAGATCCCTCAAATGTCAACAGATACAAGATGAATAAACAGCCAGTCTGTTTTCAGCATCCTCCGAGGAATGCTGATGCACAGCAGGTTGGCACAGATGCCCCAGACACAATTCTCATCTTGTTTCAGTAGACTATCCCACATCTGAATATGTTTTATGTCTGTGGCAGAATTGAGGACCAAAGCCAAGGAGCAGTTCGTTGGCAGGAGATAAAATCAGCCGGAGGCAGAGCATGTAGCACTGCCCAAAGGGTATCTCTACAGCGCAGCTGGGATCAGGTAGGTACCATACATCCTTAAGTGTCACACAAGTGTTTATTGGTAGGGTTTTGACAGCAGATCAGCTAGGTTCAGAAAACATTCCAGTTTTGTTGGCTTCACATGCCTGTCAATTTTCATAGCCTATACCAAGCAATGTATCTCCTCAGCTGGTGCAGGCAAACTTTAACCAAACTGAAGCAGAGTACAGCCAGCCGAGCCAACGGAGGAGGCAGTCTAAACTATACACCGTTCACAGCAGATGTTCACATGGGGACTCAGTACTTCAAAAGCTGTATGTCCTACATCAATCACTGCATACTCCAAGTGTGGGCATATCTCATATTTAGAAACCTAGAACAACTTTTTCTTTTTTAAAGAGATGGCTATGGTGAGAGAGAGAGAATATGGTAAGCTTATCTACTCTGAGTCATCCAGTAAAGTCTTTAGCGGTATAGAGCATTATAGATGACTTCTCATTTCTGTGCCTTCAGTTTAGTTCACGTTTAGAACAGTTGAGCATCATGTAACAACCACCTGGCACAGAATTCACTGAACTGTTGTGCCGCCTTTGTGTCAGCCGTGCTTGGTAGACTACAAACAAGCAGGTACTACATACACACATTTTGAAGTAAAAGTCATCTAAAACACGGTACCAGCATAATGCCACAGAGGAAGAAAATATCTGTTAGAGCCACACGATAAGGACATAAATGAAATGGCCTTATTAGAGTGCCAGAGAACTACATCCACAAGCAGGAGTGGGACCAAGCATCTTTTTTGCATATCCAGCCATCTCAATGTATGAGACAAAACAGAATACTTTAAACACTGATCAACTTCACAATTTAGCCAACACCCATGTGTTTCAGCTAAAATCCTGACACTGACTTGGAAGACAGATTTTACATTTGCAGTCCTTCTCCCTCAGACTTCATCACCTCTGCCTTTATGACAGTACTGTGAACTTCACCTTCAACTCCCAGGAATTCATTCCTAAACGAATGGTTAATTGAGTGACACATGCAAGTCTCATTACTGTGATGCTCCAAACCCAGTTGCAAGACATTGCATGTTGCAAAAGCCAAGTTAAAAGTTAAGGCAATTTTAGTTACATGAACAAACAATTCCCTCAGCCAATTCAAGCTACTTGCAGACAACTCTGTTAGATTGTCTTAACACAAAAGAACAATTTTGATTTCCCACGTGGAAATTTTAGAATCCAAGTTTCAGCATGAAAATGTTTTACTAGCAAACTATGATAACCCCTAAAAACAAAGACAGTGATATAATAATGACAATATTAGCATAAAATGAACGTAGTATTAACTTACTGAGACAAGAAAAATACAATCTATTTCATTTTCTAGAGGCTTCTACATAAAAGTAAAAAATAGATCCGTATCAGTAACATCCTGCATCTGCTACCGAGTGTGAAGTCGATTTTGTAAGGATTTCTGCCAGTGTTTCATCACTCAGCACTGGCTGGGATCTTCAAATGTTCTTACACTGGCATAGAAAGTTGAGTGAAATATGTATCAGATAAAATTCCTAAATATACATAAGCCAGCTTTATAAAGATGGGTAAATCTGTACAGTAATTTAAAAGCACATGAAAAAACTGCCTCTGTAACTTGGTCACTGCAATTACATTTAAGATAGTAGCATTGGCTGTAATGATCTTTCCATATAAATCAAGATGTCAAAGCCATTGTTATAGAATCTCTGCTATAATTCAGCACTTACTGTCTAGTAAAATTTCTAAACTGACCAGCATTCAGTCTGCTGGAGAGTAAAATTTCATTAGGGCTGCTTTTACAATGGACAGAAAGTTGAGTTTCAGGCATGAACCCCAAAATATTTCAGAATGTTTGATGAGTGATCAACGAGGACACAGCTCCGTATATTTTTTCTTTTTTTAAAGTACAGAGAGACAATTAGAAGCATCCTATTTGAACTGCTTGTAGTGATTATTCATGATAGAGACCAACACAGTGAAGTACATTAGACTAGCAAAAGCTTTTAATAAGTTTTCCTACCTTATCTGCCATTATCATGGAGGCCCCACCATGAATTCCAAGAATTGGAATAGAAGTCTGAGATGAAATAAAATCCAAAATCTGAGCTACTGCCTCCTGATCAGTATCATCTCCAAAAACCACTCCATGGATCTTGGTGCCTGACATCAAGTCGCAAACGTGTGTTATGATGCTCTTAGGGTCAGTCTGGTTCACCAGAAGGGTCACTACATTGACATCAACAGTCAGGTCTGCTGACATTTCCCTGGTCCAGAGAGCTCTGATATCTCTCTCTGTGATATACTTGGTCCTTCCCAGAATCACTGCAATGTTCAGGATGGGATAACTTCTCTCTGCTCCACGAACAAGATCCAAAGGCGCCAGAAGAGCTTGGAGTACCAGGAGAGCACAGCCAATTTTCCTCATCTTTGCCAGCTTTATCCCCTGTAAAAGTGATCACATTGTATGAGAAAAGCAACAGAGAGGAAAAAAATATATACTGTATATCTCCAATTAAGGTTTTAAAAAGAAGGCTTCTGGACACAATGCAAACTTTAGCAGCTTTTTATAATGCATTCTTCACCTTAGTTTCAATTCAAGCCTCTTATATCCCCTCAAAAAGTTGGCTTGCCAATGACAGTATTACAACCGGTCTCCCGCATGCAAGGCAAAAAATGTAGCACAGGCTCAGAGGAAAGACCCATTAAAATTCTTCCTGGATAGCCAACAAAATTAAAATGACTGACATCATTAAAAAAAGACATTATCATCCTTCTCTTCAACCTTGCTGTCCTAAAACAGGTAAAACACAGAAATCTATTTTCCTTTGTCCTGAACGTCTATTTAAAATTTAGTCACAGTCTAACACGAAGAGGTGCTTTAGCTCAAAATGAGAGAAGCGAGCCAGAGGTCTGCTGGAAACCCCAGTCCATATAATCCATACACCTCACAGCATCCCAGAACCATGCTGTTTTATTTCTGAAGATCTCTCGTAGACAGCTGCTGCCCAAGCACAGTCTACTGCATTTCTGGAACAGATTCAGGAGCACAATATTCTATCTTAATTCTTCTCCCTCCTCTTACACAGCATTCACTTAAGCATCTCTCAGAACTGCTGATCTCAGACACAAAGTTGTCACTGGTGTCGAAGGGGAGGGTGTTCCATAAATGAGCATCACTGCATTGGTTTACTTCATATCTTCACTGAATCTCTGTAGGGGACTGAATATAGACGGAGTAGGATGGGGAGAGAGAGATGAGCCATAGAAGTGATCTGAACTATCTGAAGGAGGGAGAAGAGGGAAAGCAGGTCTGACTCTGCAAGATCTCCCTCTGTTTCTGTGCCCTGGGAGATTTCCACCCCCATAACCGGCTCTCTACTAGCTGCAAGAAGGGAGTCCCTGTGCCACATAAAGCCAAGCTTGTTGCAAAGCGTCACGCAGAAAACACTAGCAGGGCTGTCCAATCAGGGGTGGCATTTTTCAGATCTCCCTTCTCATCCTGCCAGCCCTATCTCCATCATCAACCAGAATCATCTGCTGCTGAAACACACACCAAGACAAGGGCTTGCTGTATCATCACCTCCTTTCGGATCAAACAAGGAGATGAGCACTTGAGAGACCATTTAACCGCAAATCAGTGCCACTGTGCTTCCTAAGTCATTGCACCGCGGGCCAGACTCCTGCCGCCGCAGCACCAGAGGTAGCACGGAAAGCGGTAGAAATAAACCTAAACGCCCGCAGGCACGAAGCCGCTTCAGCTTCCTCCAGACCCCAAGAAATAATGCTTATAGTAATAACCAACGCACGCACAACCCCTCTTTGCCCGCAACGGGCACAGGTCCCTTCCCGTAACTGACAGCACCGCACCGGGGAGCGCCCCCGGCTCCCCCGGCCGCCGCGGGCGGCGGCGCCCCCT